TCTCAGGTATCGCGCGCGCTCTCCCCTCCCCCCTCCCTCTCTCTCTCTCTGTTCCCCGTACAGACTTCACCGTACACTTCATTTCACTCGCGGATCAAGTTTTCTCCTCCGTTTTCGGTTCGATTTCCTTGGTTGTGCTGCACGTAGGGTTCGATATTTATTCATATTCACGTGGAAGTACGTATCCCCGTCGCAAGGAAGGATAATTTCAAGCGTTGGATCGATGCCAACAAATTTTACGCCTTCCGCGAAAAGAGAGGCTTTCGATTTTAATTAAACGGAGAATCCCTTTCCCCTTCGAATCCCTCGTATTTTATCGCGCGTATTCTATCTCCCCCCTCTATCCCTCGCCAATCTCTCCATCCGCTGTATCGCGTGTCTCCATCTCGGTGCCGATCGAATCGTCTTTCGCGCCGCGAATCGGGCCACCACCCGTTCCATGGAAGTTGGATCGTTATCTCGAGAGATTAAAGCGTCCAGGGATGAAGGTTGACCACTACCGCATCGAGCCAGGCATTTTCTTTTCTCACGGCTCGCTGATCGAACTTTATTGCGTCGAGGAGGAGAAGATAATCGAGGGGGCGGGGAGGGGGGTATTTATCCGCGTTGGTTCGAAAAAGAGGGCAGATACGATCGTTGCACGAAAACGAATGATACACGCGGATCGAGTGTAACAATCTTCGAGTTAAATATTTATTTATACACGCATTCATTCAGTTGAATTTTTGAAGGGGCTTTGTTCCCGAACAAATTTATATTTATTAGAATGACAGTTAATTTAACCTTGCTTTAAATCCGATAGATACGTGATAATTGTGAATGGTGTAATAATTTTGATCCAAAGAAAGTTTTGATATACGGGTTCAACGAGTTTCTCAAAGGTATTTATATATTATTGTCAAAGATAAATCGAATATGTTCATTTATCGTTGAATTTTTGAAGAAAAATTTCTCGAGTCGAACAATTTAACTTTGTTTTAAATTTTTTAAAACCATTGGTTGTGAACGGTGTAATAATTTTGATCCAAAGAAAGTTCTGATATACGAGTTCAACGAGTTTTTCTTAAAGGAATTTATATATATATATATCAAAGACAAATTAAATATATTTATGTACGAATCTCGTTGAATTTATGAACGAACGTTCTCGAACAAATTCTTCGAAAGGATAAAATCAATTTTGTAATAATTGACCCAACCAAGAAAGTTCCGACTTGAAAGACGAAAGTTCGATCAACTTGCATTTTTTTCGTGTCTCGTCGTTCGATATCTCGATGAAGTGTCATCAACTTCGCTCGATGATGAACGCTTACGGTAGAAGAAAATTTCCAAGGAAAATCGAAAGATGAGCCGTTGGTTGGTTGAACATTTTTTTCTTCTTTTCTTTTCCACGATACAACCGATCTCGAGAATCGTATCGATCTCGAGAATCATCCTTATCTCGGCCAGCCGATAATTATGTTCCTCGCGGTGAGACACGATGGATCGGCGAGATCGATCGGCGAGATCGTTGCCGATTAGAGGCGCTCGTGTTGGTGGAAGGAATCGAGCGGAATCCGTGGTGCGTGCGCGGTCAAACATGAATGAGCGATCCGATTTATCGATCGCGATCGAAACGACAACGCCGCCTCGCCCACGGCGCTCCAAACGTGGAAAAACAGGGATGATAAGCAGCGGTGGAGAGGTTTCGTTCGCGGAAAATTACTCGACCCGCCAAAAGGGGAGAAGTGTCTTCCGTTCTACGAGTTTTGCGAAATAACGCTGCGTGAAATAACAACTGTGGAGGGGAGAAATTAATGGATTAAGAGATATTTTGGAAATTATCAGTTAGGCTAATAAGATTTATAAATATGGATGAGAAATCAATGGAAGTGATATCTTGGAAATTGTGGAAAATTAGATCGATCTAGAAAATAAATAGATTGTCCTCGATGAGTGAAAAAAGATTCGTCAAGGCAAGGTTTATAAAAGTAGCCACTATGTGGATGAGAAATTAATGCAAGAGATATCTCGAAAATTATGAAAAATTTGATATTCGAGTTTCGTTGCGAGGAAATTTTTGTCAAGATTTATAAATATATCGATAAGAAATTAATAAAAGTTACAGAATACAAAAAAAAAAATAATGCGATTAAAATATCGTGGAGATTATAAAAATTACATGTATTCGAGTTATAATATTTAAAATAACGCGATAAATATATATATATGGATAACCTAAAAAAAAAA